ATATAATTGTGACAAAATTTAGTCAATTGATGTTTCTCCAGGATATTACGGATTGACCTTTGAAAGATGGCAGGAGCATTTTTCAATCCAAACGGCATAACCAGCCATTCATAATGACCATGTTGAGTGACAAAGGCGGTCTTATGAATGTCCTTCTCTCTGACTTTAATGTGCCAAAATCCTGACCTAATATCGAAGACACTAAAGAACTTACTCCCGTAGAGGGAATCAATAATGTCCTCAATCCTTGGCATCGGATATTTATCAGCGAGCATCTTATCGTTGAGTTTACGATAGTCGATGCAGAAGCGGGTTTTATCGTTGTCTTCCCTCTTGAAGGCCAACGTAACAGGTGAAGCATAAGATGAGTGAGATGGACGGATCAACCTTGCTTCCAGCAGAGATTTAACTTCAGCGACAATTCGATCTTCACGTAAAGTACGATAAGGTTTCGAATTGATGGGAATTTCAGTATCCAATTCGACGATACATTCGACATCTTTTAATTGACCCATGTCGAATTTCCCTTCAGCAAATACCCCTTTGTATTTTGTCAGCAGCTTCAGCATAGCGGGATTGATACTATCAGCATGTACCTGATCAGCAGCAACTAATTTGGTTTTTAGGTCCAAATAGAAGTTATCATTCAGCTTCAGCGGTAGAGGAATCAGTTTGATGGTTGTTGGTTCAACAGGAGCAGCAAGAGTTTGTTTGATTTGGTAATCAGCGTCACATTTAAGATTGAACTTCCAAATTAAGTCCAATCCCAGCAGAAGATCAACACAGAGTAGGTTGGTGACGTAAGCGAAAATAAGGTGAGTAAATGATCCAATGGTTAAATTAAATTTGGCGAGACTTGAAATTTCCCCTTCCCCAGTCATAGTTGAAAAACTTGAACCATTAAATTGAATTGATGTAAGCTTCAATTGATCAACAATTGATTTATTAATTAAAGTGATGTTAGAGCCTGGGTCATAGAGTACAGAGATTGGATCAGCATTGATTAAACCAGGAATAAGGAGGTGAGAGGGTTTGTTTTCAAGTCTCCCAATTAATTTAAATTATTTTGGTGTTGGGAGGAATCAGCGGAATTGGTGTTGGAATCATCAGCTCGAACGAAGTTGACCTTGGTTTGTTTTCCTTTCTTTATTGGACAATCTTCGGACCAATGGTACTGATCGGGTTTACCATTATTAATGCAAGTCCAACAAGAGCTTTTCGGTGGACGTTTTACGAAAGGTTTATCGGTGTTTTGGCCTTGACCTCGTTGATGGTTGTTAAATGATCTCTTATCATTTCCTCGAGGTTTACCTTGGTGATTGGGACGATGAGTGTTCACATGACCTCTACCTTGTTGGTTGGGGTAGCCACGATTACCTCTAGCGAGTTGACTCTCAGCAGTTTTAGCGATTGTGAAAAACTGGTCATAAGTTTTAACACGGTGTCCAAGAAAACAATCATGTAATCTACCTGTTAGATTATCAATCATGATGGTGACAGCGTGATCTTCAGAGACACCAGCTTTATTGGCCAATCGTCGTTTCGATTCGAAGTAGTCAACGACATCCTTACATTGATCGAACTTTAGGTGGAGAAATTCGAGTATTGGCTCAACGGTCTTGATACCAAAGCGATTGATCAGCTTCATTTTCATTTCAGACCATGATGAAGTATCTCTCTCACAAAGGTAAAAGTCTAGAGGGTCTTCATCAAGATACTCACTAAGGAGATCCAGCATTTCGTCTTCGGACCAATTGTATCGGACACCAGCAGACTCGAAGAGTTTAATCCAATTTTCAATTGAAACATTGGGTTTCAAGCCAGTAAAGATCTTTAATCGTGGTCGATAAATTGGTTTTCGGTAGTAGTATTGTTCAGCGGGTGATGAAATCGATTCATCTTGATCCAATTGATCATCAGCCATGGTTAACTAATGATTCAACCCGTTTACCTTCAATTAATCTACTGATTCCTTTAGTAATAAAAAGTAACCAGTAGAGAAAATCCAGTAAACAGGAATGAACAAAAGTAACAGGTAACAGCAAAAGATTATCACCGACAGATGATAATCCTGTCGACTTATAAGGTGGGACAGCAGCAGCAACAGTAACAGCCAGAAATTCAGCAAATGGAAACGATTAGTTTAATTTTCCAAATATGAATTCCAAATTAATTCACTTCCTTGGAAATAAACCAAATCGATTCCTGAAATTAAATTAATTAACTAAATCAACTTGATTTAAAATTAAAACAAATTAACTTTATTAAATTAAATTAAAATCAAACATAATTAATTAGTTGAACCATCACCATCAAAAGCTAATGATTGATTGACCATGTTGTTGTTGTTGTTGTTGTTTACCATCATCATCAACAATGAATTAACTAATTAAAAAGGATTATTGTTGTTAATCAACAATCAACAATTAAATCAAATGTTGTTTACAAAAACAACCACAACAATAAGCGCCATCCAAAATTTACAACAATTAATTAATTAAGAAAATTAAATGTAGGGGAAAAGTAGGAGGCAGAGAAAGAGAAAAATTAAGCAAAAGAAAGAGAAATGAAAGAGAAAAGGAAAGAGAAATTAAATCAAAGAAAGAGAAAAAGAAAGAGGAATTAATATCCCTTTGATTTTCTTTCTCCAATTTCTTCTTTACATTACAGATATAAATGAGACAAAAAAAAACAAATCATATTCAAAAATAATGATCATGATCAAAGGGGAGGATCAAATTTGTCAATTGATAAGTTGACAATTAGTTGATTGTTAGAAAAGTTTTATTATTATTTGATTATGATGATGATGATTATCATCATTGAGACTTAGTTAATATGCTCACAAGCAATTGGCACGCGTCAATGTTGATGATTATGATGATAACCTTGATTGAGGACAGGACAAGTTAATCATGATGATGATGATTATCATCATTAATGTAATATGATTTCATGAGAAATGAGATAATCTGAGTGACAATTAATTAATAACTTAATCATTTAGCTTTTTATGTTCATAATTGAAGATTAATTAACATTCACATGTAACATGAAACATGTAATCAGGTAAATCTAATTCATTAAGAAAATAATAGTTCGTTGAAATTATCATCATGAAAAGCTAAGTGATATAATCTCACTCTCGTCATCATCATCATGAATTGTCATCTTCCGTGCCTATGAGTTTATGACTGTGTGTGTGTGTGTTTGTCATCGTCATCATTTCAAGGTTATCATCATAATAATCATTATCATCCTCTGGTCATCCATGAATCATGATGTAAACAATTCAATGTCATAAATGTATAACTTTTTTTTTCATATGTTATAATAATAATAAAAATATACCTTGAGGCGGTTTAACTAAATCATCAAAGTTTTGCATCACACCGGAAGTTTATCATCATGCAGTTTGTTAGTCATCTTCATCATCAAAGATTCTGAACATTAGTGAGCTATTTTTTATCGTCATCATTAGTCTCTCTCACTCTCACTCACACTCACTTACTCTCTCTCTCTCTCTCTTTATCTCTTTCCCGGATTCTCTTGAGTTTCCTGGATATCAATACATTTATGGATATGTTATCCTCTTCATGATGATAATAGCATTAGATTTTATCATCATCATCATCGTCATCGTCATCATCCTGATCTCTCTCTCTCTCACTCACTACCTCCTTCATCCTCTTCCTGTTAATTTTTCATTTCAATTTCAATAATAAAGGTCAAAAAATGATTCCATTGACAAAAGTAACATTGAATTTAGTAATTTACCTGTAACATTGGATTAATTTACTAATCCACAATTAATGATTTAATCTCTTCCTCTTTGTACTGATTAGTTAATTGTTTGTGTGTGTGTGTTTCAGTTAATACTTTTCAACAGCTTTTTCACTTGGAAATGTTAATTGTTGTTATTGTTTAACATCAATTGATTGAAACTGATTAATATTATTATTATTGTTATTACTTTATGAACGGATATGGCAATTGTTAATTACAATTAATTAATTTAGTTTACCCTTCATTTAGATTAAAATAACTTACGGTTAAATTGTTTTACATTATAATCAACCTAATGATGATGATGATGATGATTGTAATTAATATTAAGGCTTAATAAGGTAAACAATTTATTCCCATAAAACCAGATTTACCTAATTGTGATTAAGCTTAATCATCATTAGATTGAGACTCTGAGAGTGTAAACAATGTTATCGTATTAATATGATAATATATAAATTGCTGTTGATTGTTGTTGATTAAACTTGATTGGATTAACTTTACTTTTTTTTCCTCTATTAAATCAATTAATTGATTGTTAGTTTTTTTTCATTTTTCTTCTTAATTGTTGTTATGATGATCATTATGGTTTCATATTAATTATTTTGATTATCAATGTTATTGATCAAATTGATTAGGTTTTTGGTTTATAATAAATAATTCATTATTAATTGTTAATCTCAACAAATTTCATATGTAACGACAATGACTTGATCAATGTAACAATTAAGTTAATGGTCATTGCCTTTGCTGAGTAATCATTGTAATTGTAACATCATCATTGTCTGGCATTGATTTATAAATATATCTCATAATTAATTACAATTGAATGGATGATTAAGTTAAAAAAGAAAAACAATAAATAATCAAATTAAGAATATTAATTGTAACCAAGTGATTAATGAAAATTTTCCAATTCAATCCAATCGATTCAATTGAAGATTGAACAAAACAAATCAAAGGAAAATCAAACAAACCTAAATTAAAATACTCCCTAAACACTAATAAACTAATAAGCAAAAATGAATGAACATGATTAGTTAATTGTGATTATAATTGTGGAACAAAAAAAAAAGGAAAAGAAAAAAATTCTCTTGCATTTCATAGATGGCGCGTAATCGCTTGGGTTCCACCGTTCGACCGGCAGATGTCGCCCTTTTTCGGGAGCTTCTCCTGATTGGTTAGTCGGTTGGTATTTGAATTCTAGTTTCTGTTTGTGAGTTTAATGTACAGTTGGCTGAGAAAGACTTGATATCTGAAGTATTTATATATTTTTTCATCTCTCTTTCTCTTTCTCTCTCTTTTTCTTCATGTTAGTGTTTTTTTCGTTTTCTTTTTTCCAATAGAACAGAATAATCTTTAACCATGGATATACTTCCTTCAGTTAATATTTTCACCGAACTTCAAACTGTCCTTGATACTGGATATTTGTCACTTTATTCGTCGCTCGAAGACAATTGGCAACAGGTAACACAATTTAAACTTGACGGTTTTTCACCTTTTCTTTTTCAAGTTAATTTTTCTTTTCTCTGGTTATATTTTTTTTCGCTCTTTCGCTCCACTTTCTTTTTCTCTTTCTCTATCTGTGTCTGCCTCTGTCTGTCTCTTTCTTTTTTCTTCTTCTCTACATTTGCCCTTTCTCATAATTTTCTCTCTCTCTCTCTTTCTTTTTCTCTGTGTCTGAAAATTTCTTTCTTTCTTTATGTCATTTTTTTTCTTTCTTTCCGTTTTCTCTTTCTCTCTCTCTCTCTCTCTATTACATCGGCTTTCTATTTTCTCTTTTTCTCTTTCTTTTTTTTGATCTTTCATTTTTTTTCTTCTCTTTAAGTCTTTTTGCCTTTTCTACTTTCTACTTGGTGATGATGATGATTTTCATCATATCTCATAATCTATTTTTTCTTCCTTTTAGACTAACATTTCTTTCCCTCTCTATTTTTCTTTCTTCTTCTCTTGTTGGTCAATCTTTGTTTTTCTTCCATTTCCTTCCCTCTCTTTCTCTTCCAGTTTATTTGTCTGTCTATCTGTCTATCTTTATTCTCTCTCATTGTTTTTCTTATTCTCTTGTTGTCTAATTTTTTGGGAACCTTTTTGTGTTTCTTTCATTGTACTAATGTCTCTTTCTTTTTCTCCTTTTTTCTCTCTTTCTCTCTCCGCTGACCCTATGGTTTTCCCTTGGTGTTTAACTTTTCAACTGTCATTCAATTTTTGGAAATCAGACCATATTGGAGATGGAAAGGTATCTGAAAGATTCACCATCTCTTTCTCTACTGTCATCTGTATCTACATCATCACCATCTCAATCACCCTCGCCATCCTTATCGCCATCAGCCGATTCACCTGATTCAACTGTTAATAATAATAATAATTTTAATATTACTAATTCAACAACAATTGATAACCTTAATACAAATATCAACAATACCGGTGATATCTCATTGAATAATAAAATGTTACCAACATCAACCATAAACAACAACAACAACAACAACACCCTTCAACTACTCAAGTCACACCAGTGTTACCACCCTTGTCACCTTTAACCTCATCATCATCATCGTCATCATCATCTTCATCGTCTTCACTGTCATCATCTTCAACAACAGCATCTTCTCTATCATCTTCCTCGTCACCAGCATCACCTTCATCATTTTCATCTGTAGTTTCCTCATCGTCAACCATAACCTCCAGATCAACATTATCTTCACTTTCATCATCTTCACCATCATCTCCAGCCTCATTAACAATCTCAACCGTTTCGTTTGTGAATTCATCTTCATCCTCATCGTCAACATCTTCATCCTCTCCACCCTCATCAGTATCATCTTCTCTTTCACCCTCACCATCACCAACATCTTCCTCAACTACTTCTCCTTTTTCACCGATATGTTCAATTAATTCAAAGTTAACTTGTAGTGAAGCCCGGGAAACGGGCCTACCAACCGCTGCCAATGAAAATATCCTTATAAACACCACCAACACTGCTAACAGTCTTAATAACATAACCAATAATAACATAAACACCCACACAACGGTTACAACGACGATTGGTTCAAAATCATCGTCGAAAGCCCGTTTCGAAATCAACCCGGATAATAATAAACGTCGAATTCATAAGTGTCTATTCAATGGATGCAAGAAAGTTTACACCAAGTCTTCACATCTTAAAGCTCATCAAAGAACTCACACAGGTACGTGGGCTTTATTTTCTCTCTCTCTCTCTCTCTCTCTCTCTCTCTTCTATTCTTTTCTCTATCACTATCTTTCTCTTTTTTCCATGTGTTGATTTGTATCGGTGACCTTGAATGGAGAAACATGGACTTATCTTTTTTCTTGTTCTTTTTTTCAACTTATTCCTGCCTGTCTCTCAATCATCATCCTTACCATTAGCCATCAACATCGTCATCCACATCATTACTCATACTTTTTTTCTCTCTCTCTTATTCTCACTTTCTTCATTTCTCTCTCTCTCTCTTTTTCTCCAGTTGACAGAAGAAGAAAACGAAGAAATGAAAGTTTAGAGGGAAAGAGGAAAAAAGAATAAGTTTAAATGATGTTAGAGTAAAAAAAAAGAAAATAAAGAAGAAAAGTTTTACCTTGTTGTTGTAGTAGAAGAAGAAGAAGAAAAAAACAAGAAGAAATTAAGTAATAGGAATTACAAGTTCAACAAATTCCATCATTAGCAAGCCAGACAGACTCATAAGTTATTAGTTATTAGCAAAAAAGATGATGATGTTAATGTTTCCTTTTCCATGTTTATGTATCCTACCTTTATTTTTTTCCATACTCTATCATTTTCCGGTTTGTATCACTTTCTCTCTCTCTCTCTCTCATTCACTTTTGCTCCATCTTTGGTAATACATGATACACCTACATTCTCATTATTTTTACCTTTTATCGTCTTGATTCATATTCTCCATTCATTTAAACCTAATATGCATTCACTTTTTTTCGTTTTATTGATCGTCCCTTTCTCACTCACTCATGTATATTTTTCTCTCTCTCTCTCTTTATATACACATCTCTCTTTCTTTCTCCCTCTTCATCATATATTCATAATATTTTCGTATATATAAATATGTGTGTATACATATTGCACCTTATCGATATATATAAATAGGAGAAAAGCCATACAAATGTAACTGGGAAGGCTGTGAATGGCGATTTGCACGATCCGACGAACTGACCCGTCATTACAGGAAACACACTGGAAGCAAACCCTTCAAGTGTAGCCATTGTGAACGATGTTTCTCCCGGTCTGATCATCTTGCTCTCCATCAGAAAAGACACCAATGACATCAAAACAAAGCATTATTATTATTAATATTATTATATTATCATTTTTTCAAGCTTAGAACACAAAACAACACAAGAGACGACAAAAAATCTCTCCTTTCCTCTCTCTCTCTCTCTCTCTCCCTTCCCTTTTCTCTCTCTCTCTTCTTTCTCTCTCTACACAGATTATATTATGTCGAATGAATTTTCAATTTTCAGCATGCCTTAAATTCCCGTGAAGAAGAAAAAAAAATATACAAAATCGCCTTTTTTTTCTTGTATGTTCTTGCAAGAGAAGAAAACAAAAAATCCAATGTAATTTAATAAACACTTATAATAATAATCATAATAATGGGTTATTAACTTTTCTTTACCCACTCCCACTCCCTCTTCCCCTCTATCACCCACTTTCCACTCTCCTTCATGCTCTCAATATATCGTATTTCCCTCCTCCAACCATTGATATCGATTATTATTGGTAATTGAATTGATTCAATTTCTGGTAAGGTGACAATCAGATTGATTGCTAATTACAATATTGAATCAATATTGATAATCTTATAAAAATATGAATATTATGTTTATAATAGTTTTACTGTTGATTGAAAAGGATAGAAAAGTTATTTTAAAGATGAAAATGTCTCGGATGAGAAAGAGAGAGAGAGAGAAGATGCAAAAATAAAAGGCATCCCTGATCTTTAAGATTTATGGGATAAATTGATGCGGATGATGAAAGAAATAAGATGAGAGAGCCTGGATAGAAAGAGAAATTTGAAAATCGTCTAGTGAGGAAATGATGATGAAAGAGAGAAACAGAAAGAGGAAATGAACGATAATGATGAAGAAAAAAAAATGGATGACAGAAAGATGATTTTGATGTTGACCGGGTGGATGATTCTTGGTGCTTTTATCATCAATGAGAGAGAGAGAAATGTAAATACAGTTATGTAACTGTCTACATGACAAGAAGAAAGAGAGATGAAGGTCTCTCTCTCTCTCTCTTTTCTCCATGTGATGAAAACAGAATGATGATAAATGATGTTACATTTACTGTAAATCATCAACAACAGATAATCAATAAGATGACCTTTTCTTTACTCACTGACCATCATCTTCATCACCAAACATTTTCACCAATTCTCATCATGTTGGAACTTTCATTAGAAGATTTTTTTTCTTTCTATTCGAAAATGTTTATCATGATAATCATGTGATTATCTTGAGGCGATGAAACTATTATTTCCTTTTTCGATAAATTAATCAGAACTTTTTTGTTCATCATGAAATAGAAAAGAAAACTTTTCCTTACCTTAAATGTTACCTAATAACTAATAGAAACTATTGATTACACTTTGATTAACAATTAGATGAAAACACCTTTTTAGTTGAAACATGAACATGAACACGAATTACAATTAACTCAATTAATTGAATTAAATGAAAATGCGAAACAATTAAATATTCAGAAGGTTGAAAATATCAGCATTTAAGTTGAATGAGGAAACAATAAAAATCTAATGATTAAAATCAACAAAACATGATTAAGATTTTAATCATTTCTCATGGTTTACCAATTAATGACTTTCTTTTAATCCGAAACTTAATCATGATTATATTTTAATCCGAGGTGGGTTAAGGGAGAGAGAGAGAGAGAGGAAAGAGATTCAAGATTATCTCAGCTACTTATGAAACGATTTAATTTACAGAGATTAATCATCATGATACATAATCATCATCAATGGATTAAAACTACGTTACAATGATTATCATCCTTTTATCATCATCATCAAAGTCTATTCAAAGTAATACATTGTTTCAAGGTTAAATTTATCTTCATCATTACAATTAACTTTAATTCAACTGATGATGATGATTACTTTACAATGGAAAATAATGGAAGAGAGAAGCGGAAATGAGAGTAATGCCGGAAACGAGACAATTAAAGGGAATTATGTTGGTAGATGAAGATGATGATAGAAAGGGAGAGAGAGAGAGAGAGAGATGTAGAATCCATGATAATCTTAATTATTGTTATCATCTCTCTCTCTCTCTCTCTTGCTCTCTCTCAAAATTTGAATCTCATCATCTGAATCTCATGCATAACTCAAATTAAGTTCAATCAAAAAAGTTTGTAATTTTCTGATTAACCGAAAGCCTCATGATGATGATAAGGATGAGGATGAAATCTCATATTATCTGTACCTGAATGTGATGGTTAATCATCATCATCATGTTAGTAAACTAACTTGTTCATCAACTTGTATATACATTATGAATATGCAGGTAACACGAAAATGCCAATTCGAAAGATGATTAAGAAGAGAGAGAATCTTTCTCCATCTTCATCTTCATCTTCATCCTCATCAAATTATTGTTTATTTTCTTTTTGTTTCCTTGTGAGAAACTGAAGATGATGAAGATTATCATTATTTCTGTAATGATGATAATTTTGTTTTCTTATATTAATATAAAGAGAAATAATCTGAAAGATATGGAAAGAGAAATAAAAAACTCCATGAAATTAGATTGAATTTTCTGAACTGAATCATATGCTATCATTACGTAGGATTATGTTAACCTTTCTCTCTCTCTCTCTCTCTCTGGAAAACAAGAAGATGATGATGATAAAAAAGATGATGAAGTTAAGGTAAAAACAGTAGTCAAGGTAAAGAAAGGGTTACCCAGTGGAGAATTTTTTCCTCTCTTATTCTCTTTTTTCTCATCTTGAAGAACCTGATTTTCAAAGGAAAAAGAAAGAAGAACATGATGACGAGGATGATAATACCATGAACTACCAGTAGCTACTGAAATTAGTGTAAAAAAAGGGAGAGTAATGAGAGAGTAAAAGTTGTCAGAGAAAAAGAAAATGAGAGAGAGAGAGAGAGAGAGAGAGAGAGATGATGATGAAGATGAAAGTGCTTGGAAGATACAAAATTACAAGTTGAATACCGATCTATGGTGTGATGCACTTGGCTGAATCTCATGGTTTCATCATGAACATTTTTGTTCATTCTTGGTGTTTTTTGTTCATTCTCATAGCTTAAAAGTGAATGACTTGGTGTGTGTGTATGTTGAATGAATCAATGAATGAAATGAGCAACAACAATATGAGTAATCATGATGATGCCGAAGTGGAACTTTTTTTTTATGCTGAAAAAAAAGGTTGACACGAAAATTGGTGCTGGTTAATTTTTGTGATGAGGATAAACTTGAAACAATCAAGTGAGTTAATTAGCTAATGGTGGTTGTTGATTATGATGGAGTGGAAAAGTAACTTGATCATTAGCATTTAATAGTTTAGTTGCAGGTAATTTCACTTAATTAGTTGCAATTGACTTACATAGATATGGATTTGTTGAAATGATAATTGTATAGTTAATTGTGTTGTGATTTTTAACTTTTAATTGTCAATTTTTATTGTCATGTTATTGTTGTTGTAATACAAAATTTGTTCATAATGATTATTATTCAATGAGATTAGATTTACGTTGTTTTTTTATTGTAATATTATTACATAGTAGTTTATATAGTTGATAGTTAATTGTAATTAGATTGAGTTGAATTGTTTAATGTTAATCATGATGGTAAAACATTTTTTTATTTTACTTTTTGGTTAGTTAATTGTTGCGACAAAAAGTTTGTTTCTGTCAAGTTTTGCAAGAAAAATTCAACACATAAGATGTTGGCTCCTGGGTGATGGTGGAGGTGGAGGTGGGTGGCTTTTGGGTGATGGTGGTGGGATCAAGGTTGATAATTTGTCTGGTGTTGTTGCTTAATAACCTCAATTGCTTTTGTTGACGATGAAAGTTATTATAATGAAACAATTAAGGTAAAAAACTAATGACATTGGATATGCTCGAGGTGAGCTTGATTGTCTTACATCAAATTTAGCTGATCCCTTGGATGAAACTGTAAGAGAGAGAGAGAGAGAGAGAGGATAAAAAAGTGAGATGAATGAATAAGTATGAAGATAAAGATGCTAATGAGTAAAATGCAATTTATATTAATCATCATATTGATTTGCACTCACACAACCAAAATCTAACCCGATTAATTGACTAAGATGCAGAAACTTAACCTTTGGGTTGAAAAAGTATCAAAACAAAAGGTAAGAAGATGAATGAAAAAAAAAGGTAATATATTTCATCATTTGCATAACAATGCATAAGGTATTATGATGATGATGAGGTTCACTATGTGTAGTAGATGATGATGATGATAAAGCAAAAGTAGACAACAAGTTAGACAGTAACCAGGTTACCTTTTTGTTGCAAAGAATTTGAAAATTCAAGAGAAATTACTAAGAATAGATGAAGAAAATGAAGAAAAAACCATTGAAACATTAACCCTTTTTCTCCATGATGCAGAAAATTTTTCTCTTCATGGTAATTTCTGGTTCTTAAGCTCATGGAAATTGACAAAGAATCATCATCATTACAATATAACAAAGTTTCTGTTTCTTGGCTGTTATAATAATATAACCATTTTCTTTCACTCTGATATTCACATGGTCTCATATAAAATAAACATCTCCTCTCTCTCTCACTCACTCACTCACAGTCTCTCTTTCTCTCGAATCTGTGTAAGTATTTTACCAGAATTGGGAATCAAACAGGAACCAGAAACAGCCAAAGGAGCAAAAAATATCTACAAGAACGTGACTCAACCTTAAAACTGAGGCTTTTTTCAAAGTCATCGTCATCATCATCAGTTATTATTGTTTCCATTTGCATCTTTAATCTTGAGCTTTTTTCTGAACTTTTTTTTCACCAAGAATAAGAAGACGTTTGATGCAAATATCATCATGTTCATGATGATACAAAATAAAGTATCGTCATTATTATTGTGATGACGATCCCATCTACTATTGATTGCTTCTTATGCTTTCATGTGCGTTCATTTTATTCATTTTTTACATGATGATTGAGTTGAGATTTGGCTTATTAATTGACAGGGAAAACTTGAAACTGTTTTTTTTTTCAGTGAAAAAAAAGTTCAAATTATAACCTTGCAGGCAAGAAAATGATTTTTTCTTGCAAAAAGTTTGCATAATTTATACTCTCCCATATATTACCATTTAGCATTATCATCATCTTCATCTTTATCATCATCATCATCATCATCAGATGCTGAATTCTTGTGATGTGCTTGTGCATAACTTGTGTACATTTTGTTGTGTCAACCATTTTGTTGGCCTATTCACTCAATGGGAAACTCACCTTTACAAGATCCATCACCAATATCCAATATTGAACTTGTTAAAACTTCAACGATAAGTTTCAAGAACCTCAGGTTTGTATCGGTAACTAGGCTCAGGTCATCACAAGTTTCATGGTAACATTTTCTCATGTATCCTCGAAATGGTCCTAATAACAGTTTGAATAAAAAGAGAATGATAATTAATCATCTTAAAGATTAGCAAAATAAAAGCTAATGTTTATTTATTGTTAATCTACACTATTCAAAGGTTTAAATAAAGACCCACAGGTAAATAGGGATTAACATGGTGATTAAAACTAGAAAAACAATCAACAAAATCTCATTGGGATTCAATGGTTATATTACTATTCACTAATAGTATGTATTTGTTTTCGTTTGTTATTTTTTACCATTGGAAAAAAGGTGAATGGGTAAAGATTAGATTGAAACTAGATTATCTCTTGCAAAGAAAACAATTGAATTAACCTTGGTTATGGATTAGAACTTTCTTTTTCTGTATCCTTATCATGTCTCATTCCTTAATAATAAATTATAAGTTTCGTGAAACTATCATGTTTATCAGAGTTTCTCTCTCTCTCCTTTTCTGTCTACGATTCGTTGTCCTGGAAACTTTCAAACTTCAACCAAAGAGATAAACTTTCATCTTCATCTTCTTACTCTGTCTGGACTCAGGGGTGATTCAAATATTACAGAGAAACTGATCTTCTAGAAAAAGTTATCTCTTCAAATAGCTAAGAAGAGAGTGAGAAGTTTCTCTCCCCCTGTAAAGATGATGATATCATTATCATCCTCATCCTTCTTGGGTTCATATCTTTGCAAGAATGACTTTTGCAAATCAAGTGAAGCAAACTAATAGATTACATAAGCTAATATTAGATTCGGGTGTAAGGTGAAAAAAATAAACAACTTTTCCGGTTTTATCTAAGGCTTCCGATTAGTTTCAAGTTAACTATTTGGTTTTTTTGTTGTTGATGGTTTTGGGAAGATGAGGATGAGGATGGTGAGAGAGAGAGAGAGAGAGAGAGAGAGGATAAAAAGGAATGTTTTTTTCTGTCTAAACATTAGATGAGAGAAATTGGAAATAGAAAATTTTTCACTTGGAAATTGAAAAGATAAAGATGAGATAATGAAAGGAGGAGGTTGAATAGGAGGTGAAAGTGAAGATGAAGATGAAGATAAAGGTATAAGAAGATAAATAGAAGTGAAAATGAGTCTCAATCAATGACAGTAATGGTGTAAACAACTCGATTGTAATTAAATATTCTCTCCCTGTCTAATTATATTTCATTAGCATCTTCATCCTCCATAAGTATCATCAGAATGATCTGTTTAATATTCAAAGTTGATATTCATCAACCTCTTTAACTTAATCATCTTCATCATCTTCTTCATTTTCATCACCATAATGTTCAACTCTTTAATTGTTACACATACAATGTAATAGCTGCTTCCTCTTTCTATCCACCTACACACCAACAACAACAGCAACACCACCTACACCATCTCTTTGTTTACCATGAAAATTAAGTTAAATTGTTTCAAGAAAAGTAAAAATTATCTTAATTTCTGTCAATCAAATTAACTACATTGCAAACAATTGGAAACAATCAAGTTTGCAACAAGTTTGATAACCTTTACACTATTTGAAATTTATTTTCATTCACCTTAACCTCCTAATCTCATCAATAATGATGATGATGATAATGTAATTAAAAATGCATTTAAAAAAATGATTATATTGTAATAAAAATCAAATTAAATTTGATTAACTGTCAAAAAGTATTCACAATAACCTCCCCTTGATATTGTTTCTCATCTCAAAGTAATATTATCAAAAATATCAGAGGGAAAAAGTGATGAGGATAAAAAAAAGTGTTGCTCATCCTTTTGCTTTGTGTTGATGATGGCGATAAGTTATCAAAGGTTTATCAATGTCGTATCATCATCATCATCATCTTTCATCATCATTATCATTATCATGTACATCATCAAACCTTAGCCCAACCTTTTGTCCCAAAGCATTTTGACTGGAAAATGTTGAAGTCCTTTGAATACATTGAGATATTATTACAAAATTGATGATAAGAAACTCTGATTGTTTCATGAAGCATCAGAAAGATGATGAGAATGATGATAATCAAGAGGGAGACCAATTAATTACAATCAAATGATAAAAATGTACAAAAAAGGACCGAAAACAAGTATCTCCATTAATCACTCTCTCTCTCATTGTATTTTCCATCCTTCTCATCTTACCCCCTCCTCCTCCTCCTTTTAATCATCATCTCCATCATCATCTAAATGCCTTTTCTTTTGCTCTCTCATTCACTTTTTACCATTTTCATTATCATCTCTTGAGCTTCTTTCACTTTAATTCACTTTAAAAAATCAATTATGAAACTTTTATGAAAGATGAGGATCAATTTGATCATGATGATGATGCCACGTCTTTGAATTATCTTCATCATCTTCTTCATCATCTGAAGACAACCTTTATAATGTAATATAACAATAAATTGTTTGGGTTAACAAAGGAACATTCAAAAAGATAGAAAAATAAAAAGTTCCAACAGATTCAGATGATTCTGGTGGAAAATATCATTAATATTGAATAAATTTCCACCATGAATAAAGCTGATTATGTTTTCCCAATTGATCATCGCCAAGATAAAAAAATAATAATAATAATCATTAATAAATTCACTTTCTCACCATAATCATGATATGATTTATTAATTGAATATCTTAACAATAGCCTTGGGCTATCAAGTATTGTTTGACCAATGGTCAGTTAATGGAAAGGTGAAAAAATTATGAGAAGAGGCAAAAAATTAATTCGAAACTTTTATTTTGTTTCTAATTCTCATGATACAATCAATGAATTTAATTTCTTGATTTACTATTAACTTAATATAATCAATAGGCAAGTGACAAAGATAAACAAGACAAGTTAATCATCATCATCATGACCATAATCATTTTCAATGTAACAATTACTTAATCATGATGATAAATAATTCCGAGTCCATGCAAGAATCAAATCAAAGTTAATGATTACAATATAATAATATAAACAGAATTGTCTGAGAAAATTTATCCTAAACAAGTTGATTTGATAACAAGTTAACAAGTTAAAATTCAGTCTCAGATTATCATGATAATATCATTATCTTCATGATATTTATGAACAAAAAAAATCAACGAATCAAAGGTTAATCTTATTCATGTGAATTATTAATATAATCTCAGAGATCTGATCATTCATATATTAACTTTTCCATCTTCATCCTCATCTTCATCCTTATCTTCATCTCTCTCACTCAGTCTTTATCAAAGTCTCTTCATCTTCAACATAATCTCCATCTTCCAATTTGATGGTCAGTTGAGAGAGAAACAAGGGAGCAAGTGAGAGAGTGTGTGAGAGAGAGAAAATAGAATCAAAGAAAATCGAACGACCATGAACTTGAATTCTCTCTATCAACATTATCATTATTACTATTCAACAGAAAAGTGTTCATTTTTTTTTCTTCGTGATCAAGTGATTGTATTAATATATAATAATAACGATCGTAATCATAATAGGAATGAGTTAAGATGATGAATAAGAAAAAAAAAACTTGATAGAAAATGAAAAAGTTTCATCAGGTAATTTGTTGTTGTTGCTTCTGAGAAGAAAACAAATTAGGGTTTACTAAATCATCTTCCACCCTCCCTCTTCCCTCCTTACCATGTTTTACCTTGTTATCATCATCATCATCATCATCATCATTATCTTCCTCATCTTATTCAGTAAATATCTGATAATATTGAATGGAAAAGATTTCTCATTTCTAATCATCATCATCAAAAAGTAATTGGTGTTGAGATGAAGTAAGAAAAAAGTTATTACAACTTTTTGGTTCCTTTGATTGTTATGTAAATTGTGAAAATCAAATCACAATCAAATTGTTCAATAATAATAAGGATAATATAAAGATGAGTGATGATTACCTGTATCGGTGATAAATATTGCCCTGAGTGTTGGCTTGTGTAAACTACTGTTGTGATACCAGAACATTACATGGTCACTTCGTAAAAAGTTTACATGGTCAGAAAGCACTTTAACATTGGGCATCTCTGAGGGTAAAGTTGCAATCTCAACAGGAACCAGATTAAATTGGCTAATTGGTTGACCATTAGATGAGCTTTTCTGTTGTTCAAATTGTTGCCTTGACCTCCAATGTTTAGCCATAGTAAGTGAAAGACGAGAATCAATTGACTTCCGGGTAAACGAAGCAATAAAATCGCCTCTCATGTTATCAGGTGAATCCTTTTTACCCCAAAATGGGATAACCTGAAAAAGAAAATTCCAAAACAATCAGTTAATCATAATCAATTACTAATTACAATTAGTTGACAAATTGCATTCTCATTGATTATTTGCTCAATTTTCCAGTGACGCGTTAATTGTTGCAATCATTGAACAACCATAGTGATTGTGGTTAAAATTGTAATTAGCCCCAATTTTTTTTTCTTCATCCCTTCATTAACTTTCATTCAGTTAACTAATTGTATCATTTAAATTGTTGTGATTGAGTCTCATTGATAATCACAAAATAATAACAGTATTGTTAACGATTAAAATATGAAATATTATTAACCATAAATCGTTACATGAAGGTAATTTGTAATTTAGGTTTGATTTTTAATTGCTATTAATTGGTTGTAATTGTTGTATCGTCTTTGTATCTCAATTGCTACTGTTTAATTTGATTGTTTGTTAAAAATTGTAGTTAATCATCATCATCATTATTAGTAATTCTTGTGGTATTGTAATAACTGCCAACAATCAGTTAACAAGCTAGGAAAGTAACATAAGCAATTACAAGTAAAGTTTCATGTTTATTTTAAAACTTCATCACTACCAATGGTTTATGATGATATCATCATGTTCATCATGATTATCATGCTCATCATCATGAGTATCAGTATCAAGATGAAATTGAGTAAACTCAAGACAAGATTTTGTAAATGAAAACTGGGTTACCAGGGGAAGAAGACGGAAGAAGACAGAGAAAGTTTTTCCGCCATTTTTTTCTGCAAACTGAAGCAAAAATTATCATCATAGACAAGAGATTATATTGTAATAATATTTACACAGCAAATGAATAATCTATTGAACTCTTTTTTTTTAGTTCTCTGTAAATTTGTTGATTGATGAAGGAAAAAGTTTTCTATTCTCATTATCATCTTGGTCATATAATATTCACCTTTTCAATGTCCATTGGAATATCTTGGGAATTTGATGTATCGTCAAAATTGAGTAAAGTGTCCAGTATGAAAGCTCCTCGAAATTTTGACCTTTTACCCGATAAATGGATTGGAATCAGATACTCATGGACCAAATGTCGGCTTCCCAAACCACCCTAAGGAAGATTAGTTAATGAATGAAAGATTTTAGGTTAGTCATGAAATGGAAACAATAAATTCAAGTTACATGGAAATAGAGAGAGAGAGAGAGAGAGAGAAACAAATCATTAAGATGAAGATGATGAAGAGAGAGAAAAAAGAATCAAGTTATCATCATCATCTTTATCAACATCATTATCATCTAACGTGGGAATTGAAAGATATCATTGATTATTGATTATTTCAATTCTGGTCAACCAACTGTAAACAATCAGAGAGAAACATTTTCACTTGGAAAAGACAATTTAGAAAATACAATTTTCATTGATTCTTTTTTTCTCAATCAATTCATTCTCAATTAATCGAGAGACGAAAATAAATTGATGAAAATATTAGTTCATTTGAATGGTAAATACATCATGGTAATTATAGTTGATTCAGTTTCATTATTAAATTTTCATTCTCATTCACAGAAAGTCCCATGGTCAGTATTAGTTGAGACAGAAAAAAGTTCCAACTCAATTTGAAATCATCATGAAACATTTCATTCCCTTCATGGTCATTCAGGGAGAGAGAGAGAGAAGATTCAGACAGACTAATCATCAACCCAGATTTATATCTAGATATTTGTATATAAATTTACGAGAAAAAAAATAATCATTATCAACTATGGATAAGGATAAAAATAGCAGAGATTAAGGATTAGGATTATAATTAAGATTAACTGTAAATTTGATATGGTTTTTTTTAAAGAAGAAGATGAAGATGATAAAGGAAGATAAGTGAGAGTGTTTAACATGATGTAACCAAAGAAGGTAAGATGATGATAATGATGATGATGAAATTCAACTCCCACTGAATTAAGAGTGGGTAGAGGGACAATTAACACCACCACCGTCACCACCAAACCCACCAAGAAATGGGGTAACATGTAAACCTAACACCTTACAAATGGTTGAATTGAAAACTAAGTTGATTGTTAATTGTTTTCACTTGAAGACAATTAAATTACCATTAGAGAGCTACAATTAACTTTGCAATTAATACCTTTGTTTGTTGGTGTTAAATTTTAACAAACCTTAAAGTAATTAACTTTGATTATCATTGGTGATGATTAATAAAAAGTGGGGTGAGAAAATTGTTCAATTCAATTTTCTATCAACGAAAAGGAAACATGATTAACCTAATTGTTATTAAATTACCATTGAAATTGATAAATAATTTTCTCAATTAATTGTATAATATTAAATTTCAAATTGAAATTTAATTTTAACCAAAGGAAATAAAAAACTTAACCAATTTCAATTGATTAACTTTAATGTATCTATTAAATGATTTTTATGTTTACAATTATCTTGTCTGGTTGATTATTAATTTAATTGTTATCGTTGATTTTTGGGACCAATAAATTGCTACAAAATGATAACAATCAAGTTAATTGGACAATTAAAGTTAATTTATGTTTGTTATTAGTCCAGAATTCATGTTAACTAAATTACGTTCAAATGCACTCAAATAGATTGAAATTGAAATTCATGACAGAATTTATCTATTTCTCTCTCTTCAACGATTTCAGAATTAGTTTATTCCTTTTTTTTCCTGATCATCAGAATTATCATCATGATTATCATGATATTCTGACATTTGATTATCATTACATTTCTAATGAAACAATTGATGTCGCCAAGAAGTGAGAGTAAAGTTTGACACAACCAAGTAAAAGTTTACACGATTGATTGACATTTCGTCAACGAAGCCATTTAACATGGAAACCTGAATATTCAGCTGATTATCATGAGTTTATCATGAAAATTGTTCCAAAATTTGAGTCAGTAATTTTCTCGTCACCTTGTTGTTGACATTTTCTTGTAGGTTAAATGAAAACAATTTCATATTTTGATGATAATTATGATCGGTAAGAGAGAGAGAGAGAGCATCAAATCAGCATCTTTTTTAATCACCACCATAATTAACGATGATTAAGTCTGCAAATTCAATTGTAAATAATTAGCAAGCCAATTAGTTAATTTGCTTAATAGTTCAAGTGATCAAAGCAAAAAAAAATCCACTCACTTTCATGTAAAAATCAACAAGTTACAAACAATCAATTGATAATCATTCACTCATGTGGATTAAAACTAATCCTAATCTATTTTGACATATTGATTAGAAAATGTTGAAACCAAACTTTCAAGTTTCCAACAAACCAACTCAAGCTAAAAAACTAATCATGGTCACTTTAACACTGGTCAGTTTAGTTTGAGAGATTTTATTTGAAAAATTGAAAAGGTAAACACAATTTAATTGATATCAAATCAACAACAACAACAACAAGTTCCAGATCTTAATCGTTGATCAATGTTATTAAACTTTCCAGTTAAAACTTTCAACAACAACTTTGAATCCCTGAAACCGGAAGATGACCCTTAGGATGATGAAGGTCAGTTTAAATATAACATAAAAAAGGATGAAAATAATATGTTGCCTTCTGAATATAAATACTACATATAAGATAGTTAAGTGAGCATCTTGATTAGTGTCCATTTATCATCATCAATAAATTAACCATTGTTCAACTTTCAGGCTCATCATCATCATCATCATCTACCTGAAAACCAGCAAAATCATCAATTCAAATCCTTTGAGTGTTCATTTTCAATTCTCACCATGGAAAACTTTTCTCAGGTCAATTAGTTTTTTTATCATCATGATTATGATTATTGTATTATCACCATTGTTGTTGTAATATGTTTTTTACCTTAATCCAAATACTAGTTACTACATCATCTCATCAGCAGCAACAAAATTTGATGTAACCTGTAATTGTTAATCCCAATGGGGAGTGAAATTGTTGTTATTGTTGTTGAAATAACATTTTCTTTCATTATCATCTTATGAGTATAATTTATCGCATTATAAGTCAAATAAGATGATGAGGATGAGGATGAAGATGAAGATGATAAAATAAACTGTGAAGAGATTGTGAGTTTACAAGTAATTTCATCATCATCATTGTAAAACTTTTCTTTGGAAACATTTAGATTACTGTTGTGTCATGAAAGGAAGATGATGATGATGATGATGATGATGAATAAAAAGTGATGCTTGAAATTTCATTCTCATTATGTTCATGTAACTGGTTCCAAATTGAGATTCTCTTAATTCAGTGATTCAATGGAAAACACCAAAAAGAAACAATATCATCATCATCATGTAATTTTATCGAAATCATCAGAATTTTCCTCTTCAATTTTCATTTGGATTCTAAATCTTTACCTTTTACTCTCATGGATTTCAAGTTGACTTGAGGGTAAACTTTTCAATTGGAAACAAAGTTTATCTCATTGTTCATTGATATCACTTACAGAACATGAGTTCTACCAGGTTGATAATAATGTGGAAAAGATTTCGAAACTTATCCTGAATTTGTGAAAACTTTTTCTTTCCAATGAAACTTGTGAGTTCACATTTTGTTTCTATCATAAGGGATCAGGTAGTTTCTCTTATTATTAGATGGAAATTTAAATGATTCCAAGTGAAGAGATGATGAGAATTTCAATGAAACTCCTTCAGAAGATGATCATCACCATCATGATAGAAGATGAAAAGAGAGAGAGAGAGAAGAATCTTTTTTCTTTATGGATCATTGTTATTTCTCAAAGTAGAATACGAGAAATGATCAATCTTCATCTTTCTTTTAAAGTTCTTTCATCTTTCTCGACATCATATTCATTTGTTTCCACGAGGAGATTGAAAGAGATAATGAATCAAAGAGAGAGAGAAAGATTAATATGATAAAATAGGAGTTCTAAAAGGTAAGAAGCCTTTTCTATTGATGATAATCATCTTCATCTTTTTCCATCGAGAAAAACAAAATATAATAACAATCGAAACAAAAAAAGTTCTAAATAACTTTCTAACCATTTACATGGTTAATGTTTCATGTAATCTTTGAATTTAAAAATTTTCTGCATCTCGATCATCATTATCATCTCTTTAACAATCAACGTATCTTCAATAAGGTAAACTTTCAGTTGAAATGAAAAGAATTGCTCTCAACGGATTAATTGTTGGGTGAATGAAAATTCAAATGACAATCAAGGTAAACAATCAATTGATAATAGGGATCAACAATCATAGTTGAGCATAGGGATTGACTTTATTGTAGACACTTAACAATTTTCCTTGTAATGATTTATTTCAATTGGATATTCAATGGCAAAGAACGACAGTAATCATGATAATGAATGCTACACACCAAATCAATCAGCATTTCAATAGTTAATTGATTACGTTAATCTCTGTATGTCTGAGATTGTTAATAAATGGTTTCTTATGCATATCAATAAATTACATTGAATAATCAATGTAACACTTTCACTAAGAAAATGAGGTAACATGGATGTACATCTATGAATGAAATGTTTATAACTGGAGCAAATTTCATGAGAAAATATCATGATGATTAATAAGAGAAATGGGAATGAAAGGATTGAAAGGAAATCAAGAGAGTGAGAGATAAATATCATGAAAAGATGATGATCAAGATAAGAAAGAGGATAAAGATAATGATGAAAATTGGCATCGTCAATGGTTTATATAAGCAAATCGATTACATGGTTCAAGGCAGAATCAAATTGACGTTGAAAAGATAAGCAAATACAGACACAGAGGGAGAAATGGTAAGTTCAGAATGGTATCAATATGGAGAGTGAGAGAGAGAGAGAGAGAGAGTAACTAAAATAACATGGAAAGAGTGGGAAAGTTATGGTAAAACGTAATGGGAGGAGATGGAGGAGGTGGAGGTGGAGGTGGTGTAGTGATGATGGTGGGTTAAGAAAGCTAAACAAGATAAATGAGGGGAGTGATATTGTAGTTGTTTGAGACCAAAGAATTGGTTGTTTATGTTGGTGTTGTTGTTGATAGTTTGGGTAGTGAATGAGCCTCTTGAGTGTAACTTTGGGTAAAAAGTTTGTAATAACCCTGATGACATAGGAAATTGTTGTCTGTAAATGTT